GAAAGAATCCCGGGGCCTATATAGTAACTTCAGGTGAAGCAGCGAGGGCAAATTTCCTGGTGGGCGGGATTCCCCAGTGAAGTAGGTCCTTCCCCAAAAAGATGGGGGTTTGTTTTGTAGTAGTAGTTGTGTAGTTTTGAGGGTTTTGTACATGTCCTCAGAAATTAAAAATTCCCTGTGTTGAGTGTTGACAAATTGTGTACGAATGGTATTTAATACCGCCCAAAATGAGAGTAAGACACAGTGAACATCGGTTTCTTTATTGTAGAGTTTCGCCCTCCAGTGGCTTTATCAAAACAAATTTCCCCGGAATAACTTGAAGACAGTGAACTAGTCAGAAGATGAGGTAATCAGTCCCCCAAAATAGGGTAGGTGGGCGCACCATGTCGTGGAGATTCTGAAGCAGAAAAAAGAACTGGCGCTTTTTAGTAAGGGGAAACAGACGAGGGCAAATTCACTGGTGGGCGGGATTCCCCGTGGGAAATAGGTCCCTTCCCCAAAAAGGGTGGGTTAGTTTTTGTAGAGTAGTTGTGTAGTTTTGAAGGTTATGTATGTCAGAATTAAAATTCCTGTGTTGCAGTGTCTGACAAGTTTTGTACGAAAGGGATTTTAAAACCCACAAGAGAGGTAAGACCATGGCAACAAACGGGTATCTTTATTGTGAGTTTTGCCATCCCGTGGCTTTATCAATAAAAATTCCCGGAAAAAACTTGAAGCAGTAGAAAATTGTACAGAAGATGAGGGAATAGTCCCTCAAACCCAGGAGTAGGTGCGAAAAGCACCATAGTCGTGGGATTTTGAAACAGAAGAAGAATCCTGGCGTTATATAGTAACGTCAGGTGAAGCGAGAGGGCAAAATTTACGGGTGGGCGGGTTCCCCCGTGGAAATGGTCCCCCCAAGGATGGTTAGTTGTTGTGAGTAGTGTTGTGTTTTGAGGTTATGTCTGTCCTCAGAATTAAAGATTCCATGATGTTGCAGTGTTGACAAATTTTTTACGAATGGTATTTAATACGACAAGATGAGAGTAAAGACACATGTGCAAATTGGGTATTTTTTGTAGACGTTTGCCCTCAGTGGCTTTACCAATACAAAATTTCCCGGACATAACTTGAAGCAGGGAGAATTGTAAGAAGAGAGGTAAACATCCCCCAACCTAGGAGTAGGTGGAAAAGCACCTAGGTGGAGATTTTGAAGCGAAGAAAGAAACCTGGCGCTTATATAGTAACTTCAGGTGAAGGGGACGAGGGGGAAAATTTATGGTGGGGGGATTCCCAGTGGAAGTAGGTCCTTCCCCAAAAAAGAGGGGAGTTTGTTTTAGTAGTAGTTGTGTAGTTGGAAATTTGTACATGTCCTCGAAATTTAAATTTCCCTGGTTTTTCAGTGTCTGAAAAGTTTTGTACGAATGGTATTTAATACCCAAAGATGAGGTAAGAAAATGTGCAAATCTGGGTACTTTATTGTGACGTTTCGCCTCCAGTGGGTTTTATCAAAAAATTCCGGGCATAAATTTTAAGACAGTAGACTATGTAGAAGATGAGGTAATCAGCCTCAACCCAGGGTGGTGCGAACCCTGTCGTGGAGTTTTTGAAGCAGAAGAAAAAATCTGGCGATTAGTAAAATAGGTGAAGCAGGAGGGCAAATTCATGGTGGGCGGGATTCCCAGTGGAAGTAGGTCCCTTCCCCCAAAAAAAATGGGTTAGTTGTTTTGTAGTAGTTGTCGTGTTGGAAAGGGTTTTGTAATGCTCAGATTAAGATTCCATGATGTTGCAGTGTTGAAAGTTGTGTACGAATGGTATTTAATACGCAGTGAGAGTAAGACCAGGCAAATCTGGGTACTTTTTTGTAGCGTTTCGCCCTCCGTGGGTTTATCAAAAACAAATTCCAGGGCATAACTTTTAAGCGGAAACTATGTACAGAAGAGAGGTAATCAGTCCCCCAGCCCAGGGTAGGTGCGAACAGCCCTAGTGTGGAGATTCTGAAGCAGAGAAAGAATCCCGGCGCTTTTTATAGTAACTTCGGGGAAGCGGAGGGGAAATTCGGTGGGGGGATTCCCAGTGGAAGTAGGTCCCTTTCCAAAGAGATGGGTTGTTGTTGTAGTAGTAGTTGTCGTAGTTGTGAAGGTTTTGTAAGCTAGAATTAGTTCCCTGATGTTGCAGTGTCTGCAAGTTGTGTACGAATGGTATTTAAATCCGCAAATGAGGTAAGAAAAACATGTGCAAAATTGGGGGATTTTTTTGTAGCGTTTCGCATCCCGTGGCTTTTCCATACAAAAATTCCCGGACATAAATTTAAGCAGTAGAATATGTACGAGATGGGTAATAGTCCCCCAACCTAGGAGTAGGGGCGAAACAGACCATAGTCGTGGGTTTGAAACGAAGAAAGATCCTGGGGGCTTATTAGGAAGTGGTGAAGCAGCGAGGGCCAAATTCACTGGTGGGCGGGATTCCCAGTGGAAGTAGGTCCCTTCCCCAAAAAGAGGGTTAGTTGTTTTTTGTATAGTTGTCGTAGTTGTGAAGGTTATGTACATGGTCTCAGAATTATATTCCATGATGTTGCAGTGTCTGGGGGGGGGGGACAAAGTTGTGTACGAAAGAATAAAATACCGACAAGAGAGAGTAAGACACATTGGCAACATCTGGGTATCTTATTGTAGACGTTTCGCCATCCAGTGGCTTTATCAATACAAATTCCGGACATAACTTGAAGACAGTAGAACTATGTATCAGAAGATAGGTAATCAGTCCTCAACCTAGAAGTAGGTGCGACAGCACCATAGTCCCGTGGAGATTCTGAAGCAAAAGAAAAATCCTGGCGCTTATAGTAACGTCAGTGAAGCAGACGAGGGCAAATTCACTGGTGGCGGGATTCACCTCAGTGAATAGTCCTTCCCAAAGAGATGGGTTAGTTTGTAGTAGTAGTTGTCGTAGTTTGAGAAGTATGTACACTGTCCTCAAATTAAGATTCCATGAGTTGAGTGTCTGACAAGTTTGTGTACGAAAGTATATAATACCGACAAGATGAAGTAAGACACATGTGCAACATCTGGGTAATCTTTATTGTAGACGTTTCGCCAATCTCAGTGGCTTTATCAATAGAAAAAACAAAGTCCCAGGACATAACTTGAAGACAGAGAACTATGTACAGAAGATTAGGTAATCAGTCCTCAACCTAGAATTAGGTGCGAACAGTACACCATAGTTCCGTGGAGATTTCCTGAAGCAGAAGAAAGAATCCTGGCGCTTATATAGTAACGTCAGGTAAGCAGACGAGGGCATATTCACTTGGTGGGCGGGATCCCCAGTGGAAGTAGGTCCTTCCAAAGAGATGAGCCTTAACTTGAAGACATAGAACTATGTACAAAGATGAGGTAATCAGTCCCTCAACCTAGGAGTAGGTGCGAACAGCACCATATCGTGAGATTCTGAGTAAAGCAGAAGAAAGAATCCTGGCCGCTTATATAGTAACGTCCAGTTGAAGCGACAGGCAAATTCACCTACTCCTAGGTTGAGGGACTGATTAACCTCATCTTCTGTACATAGTTCTACTGTCTTCCAGTTATGTCCCTGGAATTTGAGTATTTAATAAAGCCACTGGATGCGAACGTCTACAATAAAGATACCCAGATTTGCACATGTGGTCTTACTCTCATCTTGTCGGTATTAAATACCTTTCTACACAACTTGTCAGACACTGCAACTCATGGAATCTTAATTCTGGAGGACATGTACATAACCTTCACAACTACGACAACTACTACTACAACTAACCATCTCTTTGGGAGACCTACTTCCACTGGGAATCCCGCCCACCAGTGAAATTTTTGCCCTTGTCTGCTTTCACCTGACGTTACTATATAATCGCCAGGAATTCTTTCTCTGCTTCAGAATCTCCACGACTATGGTGCTGTTCGCACCTACTCCTATTAGAGGGACTGATTACCTATCTTCTGTACATATTTCTACTGTCCTTCAAGTTATCCTGGAATTTGTATTGATAAAGCCACTGGATGCGAAACGTCTACAATAAAGGTACCCAGATGTTGCACATGTGTCTTACTCTCATCTAAAATGATTTACATGTTAAGGAACCTCCCGTATGAGGTTTTCTAACATAGTTGGGAACTGCGGTGATCTGGCTGGGGGGGAGGCCTTCCCAGTGGGTGATAGAGGCTAGGACCTTGGGTAGCTTTAGAAGAGATGGA